AATTTTGCCAAAGAGGATAGTCCATGGGTTTTGTCAAAAAATTTCAAAATTTTTTCATCTTTTTATTTGAGGCAACGTAAGCCAGGAAAATGCGTAGTACGATATTCTACCGACCAAAAATGCCTTTTTAGGCTATAAAAACAAGAACTTAATAAAGTCGAAAAATTACCATTTTTTTCAAAGGGGTTAGTATATGGTTTTGGGTAAAAATTTCAAAATTTTCTATCTTTCTATTCTAGGGAAAACGGGCCAGAATAATACGTTTCACGATGTACTAGAAGGGAAAACGTCTTTTTAGACAATAAAAACAAGAAGTTGAAAAGGTCCAAAAATTAGAATTTTTCCAAAGGGGATAGTCCATGGGTTTTGTCAAAAAATTTGAAATTTTTTGTCTTTTTATTTGAGGCAAAATAAGCCAGGAAAATGCGTAGTACGATATTCTACAGAGGAAAAATGCCTTTCTAGACTATAAAAACAAGAACTTAATAAAGTCGAAAAATTAGCATTTTTTTCAAAGGGGTTAGTACATGGTTTTGGTTAAAAATTTGAAAGTTTTCTATCTTTCTTTTCTAAGCAAAACAGGCCAGAGTAATACGTTTCACGATATACTAGAAGGGAAAAATGTCTATTTAGACAATAAAAACAAGAAGTTAAAAAAGTCCAAAAATTGAATTTTGCCAAGGGGATAGTCCATGGGTTTTGTCCAAAAATTGGAAATTTTTTTGTCTTTTTATTTGAGGCAACATAAGCCAGGACAATGCGTAGTACGATATTCTACCGACCAAAAAAGCCTTTTTTAGGCTATAAAAACCAGAACTTAATAAAGTCGAAAAATGAGCATTTTTTTGAAGGTTTTTGAAGGTTTTTTGAAGGTTTTTTGAAGGTACATGGTTTTGGTCAAAAATTTGAAAATGTTCTATCCTTCTATTCTAGGCAAAACAGGCCAGAATAATACGTTTCACGATATACTAGAAGGGAAAAACGTCTATTTGGACAATAAAAACAATAAGTTGAAAAAATCCAAAAATTAGAATTTTTCCAAAGGGGATAGTCCATGGGTTTTGTCAAAAAATTTCAAAATTTTTTTATGTTTTTATTTGAGGCAAAATAAGCCAGGAAAATGAGTCTTACGATATTCTACAGAGAAAAAAAAGCCTTTCTAGACTAGAAAAACAAGAACTTAATAAAGTCGAAAAATTAGCATTTTTTTTAAAGGGGTTAGTACATGGTTTTGGTTAAAAATTTGAAAATTTTCTATCTTCCTATTCTAGGATAAAAAGGCCAGAATAATACGTTTCACTATATACTAGAAGGGAAAAAACGTCTATTTAGACAATAAAAACAAGAAGTTAAAAAAGTCCAAAAATTGAATTTTGCCAAAGGGGATAGTCCATGAATTTTGTCAAAAAATTTGAAATTTTTTTGTCTTTTTGTTTGAGGCAGCATAAGCCAGGACAATGCGTAGTACGATATTTTACCGACCAAAAATGCCTTTTTAGACTATAAAAACAAGAACTTAAGGGGTTAGTCCATGGTTTTGGTTAAAAATTTGAAAATTTTCTATCTTTCTATTGTAGGCAAAACAGGCCAGAATAATACGTTTCACGATATTCTGGAAGGGAAAAACGAGACGAGAAATTATGATTTTTCCGAATGGGATAGTCCATGTTTTCGGTCAAAAATTTGAAAATGTTCTATCTTTCTATTCTAGCATAAAAAGGCCAGAATAATGTGTTTCACGATATACTAGAAGGGAAAAACGTCTATTTATACAATAAAAACAGGAAGTTGAAAAAGTCCAAAAATTAGAATTTTTCCAAAGGGGATAGTCCATGGGTTTTGTCAAAAAATTAGAATTTTTTTGTCTTTTTATTTGAGCCAAAATAAGCCAGGAAAATTCGTAGTACGATATTCTACAGAGGAAAAATGCCTTTCTAGACTATAAAAACAAGAACTTAATAAAGTCGAAAAATTAGCATTTTTTTCAAAGGGGTTAGTACATGGTTTTGGTTAAAAATTTGAAAATTTTCTATCTTTCTATTCTAGGATAAAAAGGCCAGAATAATGTGTTTCACGATATACTAGAAGGGAAAAACGTCTATTTAGACAATTAATCCAAGAAGTTAAAAAGTTCAAAAATTGAATTTTGCCAAAGGGGATAGTCCATGGGTTTTGTAAAAAAATTTGAAATTTCTCGTTCTTTTTATTTGAGGCAAATTAAGCCAGGAAATATTCTACAGAGGAAAAATGCCTTTTTAGACTATAAAAACAAGAACTTAATAGGGTCCAAAAATTAGCATTTTTTTTAAAGGGTTGAGTCCATGGTTTTGGTCAAACATTTGAGTATATTTGTGGGAAGATAGGCCAGGAATATGCGTTTCACGATATTGTAGAAAGGAAGAACGCCTTCTTGGACTATAAAAAAAAGAAGTTAAAAAGTCGAAAAAATTGGGATTTTTTCAAAGGGGATAGTCCATGGTTTTGATCCAAAATTTTTTAATTGTCTATCATTTTATTTCGGAGAGAACAGGCGAAGATAATGCGTTTCGCGATTTCCTAGAAAGAAAAAAACGTCTATTTAGACCATCAAAGCAAGAAGTAAAAAATTGGGATTTTCTTTAAAGAAGTAAGTCCATAGTTTTGATCAAAAATTTGAAATTTTTCTATCTTGATATTTGTGGTAAAATAGCCAAGGAAAATGCGTTTTACGATATTGTAGAAAAGAAAATCGTTTTCTGAGATTATAAAAACAAGGAGTTTAAAAAGACGAAATATTGGGATTTTTCCAAAAGGAATAGTCTTCGTTAAAAATTTAAAGTTTTTTAATCTTGTATTTGAGGCAAAATAGCCCTGTGATATTTTAGAAAGGAAAAGCGCCCTTTTAAGTTATATATATAAAAAAGAAGATAAAAAGGTCGAAGAATTGACTATTTTCCAATTCCCCATAATACACTGTCTGCCCCCCAAATTTTGCATAACGTATTGTCTTAAAATGCTCTTGGGAAAATGCAATACTCCCAGGAGCATTTAAAAACAATGGTTTATGCAAAATTTGGGGGGCAAACCGAGTGTATTATGGGGAATTGGAAAATAGAGAATAGGAATTTTTCTTAAGGGGGAAGGTTAATGGTTTTGGTCAAAAATTTGAAAATTTTTCATCTTTCTATTTTAGGCAAAACAGGCCAGGATTATGCGTTTCGCAATATTCTAGAAAGAAAAAAAACGTCTATTTAGAGTATAAAAACAAGAAGTTAAAAAAGATGAAAAATTGGGAATTTTTCGAAAGGGGTTAGTCCATGGTTCTTGTTAAAAATTTGAAATTTTTCCATTTTTTTATTTGAGAGAAAATAGGCCAGGAAAATACGTTTCACGACATTCTAAAAAGGAAAAACGCCTTTTTAGAGTATAAAAATAAGAGGTTAAATGGTTGTGGTCCAAAATTTAAAATTTTTCCATCTTTTTATTTCAGGCAAAATAGGCCAGGAAAATGCGTTTCATCAGCATTTCCGCGGCCATTGTTGGCTCGAAGCTTGTTTATATTAATGTAATGACTACGAAACCAAGACAACTTTGGAAAAAGAAAACTTTATTTTAATACAAAATGGGGTGAGATGTAAAATTTCTAATACAAAACAATGGAGGAATTTAACAGTTACTTAAGTTGTTAAGTTGTCTTTTGTGTAGCTGATGTTCTCTTTGTCTCGAACTCGATCACCTGTGAGAGAAAATTTGAATGTCTCTTAAAATATGGCAGTAATACTGGGCCAGTCTGTACCCACTTTATAACTGATTTCCTTGAGCGTTTAGTTACTTGGATTGGCGGATTAGGTCAAGGAGAACACAAGGCTGATCGCCAAATCACGTTCATTCCGCAGGCAAAAACACTTAAATAATTGTTGGTTACCTGAGAAGCAGTTAGGACTCTTTCGAGGTGTTCGTACGTTCCTTATGGTATTGGAATTTGGAGGCGATGGATTATAAGGAGAGGGGAAAACCGGAGTACCCGAAGAAAAGCTCTCGGAGAAAGAGGGAAAACCTGCAAAGAATTCATCCCATGTATGGCATCCCTTGCGGGTTTCCAACCCTGGCCAATGGAGGTCACGTGATAATGCTCTACTCTAGAGAACTGTTTCATTCAAACTTCGTCTTAATTCCGTGCATTACGCACGCTTAATGTATCAACAGGGAGGCAAATCCCCCCAAGAACTTCATTAGGAAAGGAAAACGTACAAGCTTAAGAGGTCTATTCATGGGAGGCGAATGATCTTATGACTGTGCCATACAGCACGAAAAAACGTTACATGAGAGAATAGCTGATAATGTTATGGGCCGGGAGGTTCAAAGCTGAGTTAAGAGAACCCAGGCATTGTGCGAAATTTGAATTCAGACACGAGAGTTTAAAAATTCTTTTTGTCTACAAATTCACCACCTCAGAAATGAGAAGAAAACTGGGCCGAGTTAACTAACGCAACGACTTCTGGGATGGTTACCAGGGACGCGGCGGTCAGCTATTGGTCAATAATTTCTTAACAGTCTCAGAAGTCTTTGCGAAACATAACTCGGTCCAGTTTTCTTCTCAGTTCTTAAGTGGCGAATTGATGATTGGATGCTCTAAAAACAACCCCATCCCCAGGGATTTTCCCTTAACAAAAATGGAGGGGTGGTGTCACAGTGATGTATGGGCATTCCCGCGTTTTGTGCATCCCCATTCCCAACTGACCCTTAGTGATATGGGCATCCCCTGTAACCCTAACCCTAACCCAAATCGCTAAGGTAGTATGAGAAGGGGATGCCCATATCACTAGGGTTTTAGGAATGGGGCTGCCCAAACGCAAGGTTGCCCATTTCACTGCAACGGCGGGAAGGAAAAAATGTATGCTAGAAAAGAAACTGAAACAAAAAAAATTAACCCCCACCCCTCCCCATTAGCGCTAACTGACCTTCGAACAATTCGGCCCAGATCAACTAACCCATACATTACCACACAACTGAAAACGAAGTAAACTTTGTACCTGTTGAACATTACTTGATGCTAATCTCTTCATTTCATCATTCAAGCCGTGAGAGGAACGAAGGTCCTGAAAAAAGAAGTTGTTAAATCAACTGTGCAGTAAAAAAACAATATACGTCAGTGTTGGTTGGTTGTAAAAAGTGGCCGGGAAAATTTTTAAAGAACTTTACCTTCAGAAAGCTCTTGCAGAGCGAATATAGTCGCTCGGTGCAGGGATGGTAGAATGCGTGATTAGAATCAATCCCGTTGTCTTGGAGAGTTTTCTGCACAACTTGACGCAGGCGCTGTTGAATCGAAGTTAAGATGGCGTTAAATCCTTATAGAAAATAAAGAAAAGCATGTATACGCAAAACTAAGACTTTGTGAAGAACGTTTTTGCACGTGATAGAATAAAAAAATACAGGGCCCAGTTGTTTGAACGCCGGTTAGCGCTAACCCGGGGTTAAATTTTAACCCGAGTTTCTTTATCTTTTTATCAAAAGCACTTTCTCGGATAATTTTCTCTTTTCTTTTTAGAGTATGCAATTATCAAATTGCAGGCAAAGAGAATTAAACTGAATTTGCTTTTTAAGCTCTCATATCTGAGTTCAAATTTCGCACTAACCCAGGGTTATCTTAACCCAGCTTCGAACAACCCGGCCCTGAAGTACAATTATACGATGAAGCACGCGCAATGGAACTCCATACTGTTACAGTTCAATTTGAGAGTTCAATTCCTGGTCACAAAACGGTTTATTTAACTGAAATACGAAACTCTGTTATCTGAAATCGAAGACTCGACACAAGAATATTTTTAGCTTAAAATCAGCGGGAAAATCCTGGACATGAAAATACACTTTTTAATTAATAACCAGTGTACTTAAAGTACTCACTCGTTTGTGTCTTTCCGATCGCGTTTCTTTTTTCTTATCTTCTTGTGTGTTCTGGTGAGGTTTGGTTTCTAAAATTGAAGCAATTTACAGATAAGTCGCTGTTCTACCAGTTGAGCTTCAGACATCAACATGTTATTCGCAGCGGAGTTTGCCTGCGTGGCAGGCGCCTGTTAGTTTTTGGTTAGTCGTTATAGAGCGCGCGAGTGGAACACGTGAGGAGGAGAGAAGCCTCCTCTGCTTTTCTATCCTCTCGTGCGCGCGCGCCCTAGAAATTGGTCCCTTCGTCCTAAAAAGAATCCGGCGCCTGCTACGCAGGCTATAGCGGAGTCCTCATCCAGGTCAGGCCAAATACATCGCACACAACGAATACAATCTTCCTATTCATGTCCGGTTCTTAGACCTTAAGATGCCTGGGTAACAGGCGCGCGTGCGATAAAGGAAGACACACGCGAGGAAGCTCATTCTCTCCTTACATATGTTCTCTTCTCTCGATGGCTGCTTGCGCGTACCACGTGTTCTAGGCAATCAGGAATGTTTGAAGGCAAAAGGACGTGCAGCAACTGACCCGTAAGAGGGACTAAAATCAAAGCAAACCAAATTGCAACCAACAACAACACAACTAGTGAACACATCAAATTTATGGACAGACCTTCAGTAGATGACTCTTGTCGTTTCCTTTTTGCTGCCGCGACAGCTGGTTTTCTTACTACTGGTGATTTTCTTTTGACAGGCCTTGTGGAAAAAAGGCAATTGATATATACTTTTCAACAGCGACTCAAGACAAACATAACGTCATTAAGATATGGCTTCATATACAGCTCGCCCACTAAAGAGTAAAGACTCGGATACAGATTGCAGCCTTACTAGTAATAGTGCGCACAACATGTTTCGCCCGATGGGATTGCACGCTGCAACGGCACAGTGGTTACCAAGCGAGCAAAGGGTAACGTTTCCGGTAAGTGGTAAAAAATGAATGAAAAGTTTGACATTTCCAGCAATATTGCAGATGGCGGCACACAATGGTATTTCAGTATAGTGCGTGTTGATGTAGAGGCAGCAGATTCTACCGCTGCGATTTTTCCTGCAATATTACTCCCAGCACGAACACGAATAGGCCACTTCCGAGTTCCCAAAATCCTCACTTTCAAAATGAGATCAAGTGCGCAACCTTTCTTGTGAAAAAGAGTTTTATTTGCATGAGGATGAAAATTCATTTCCATATTAAAGGCTGAGCACTTAATCTCGTTTTGATACTACCTCCTGTAGTCTTTGGGAAACGTGTAGCACAAGATCAGTGTTTCCCTGAGATTGACGGTCTTAACGTCTTTGTCAGAATTGGCGCAGACTACAAAGTCCTTTCCAATTATACATAATGCATTTTCATTGACTCTACTTCTCAGGGGAGCTACTTTCTTGTATATACACTTTTCTTACCTTTCCACAGCAGCAGGTCTTTTGCCTTTTCCCGCCGCTTTTGTTCTCATCAAAGGCACGCTAAGCTTCATAAGACTTTGCTTCGTGTCATTTTTCGCAGCTTTGGTTACAGTTCGAGTGGAGCGTGTTTCTAGCGGCCTGTTGTCTCTTTGTACGCAGGTTGACAATGTCTCGAATTTAACATGCGAAGATTGGAGAGAAGAGAGTTGTGAATCTTTGGTGATGGCATCACGATTATCCAGACAATATCTGAGACAAAAAACATTGAATCAGAATTACTATGTTGTGGTTTTTTTGAATGGCATGTTTTATCACATGGCTGTGTTACAGATTAATAGACAATCACTAGTCCGAGTTCCAAAAACTTGCACTTTCAAAACGAGGCTAATTGCAAAACCTTTCTTGTGAAAATGAGTTTGCATGAGAATAAAAACTCATTTTCATATTAATGGCTTTGCACTAAGACTCGCTTTGAAACCGAGGTTTTGGGCAACTCCGAAGTGGCCTATTCATTGCGAAATTTCAAATCAGTGTGGTGAGACCAAATTTGTTGCTTATTCAAAACATTTTTAAGTTTTTGGTTGACTAAATCCCTCATCCATTCCTACGTAATATGATTACGCTGACCACATTTGAATAATTTCGTCACTCGTGCAATAATAGATAAGTTATTGGACGTTTGACGTCAGTCGTACAAATTTTTGACGTAACAAAAAGTGAGGGGCTCGGCGGCTCAGCTGTTTTGGCAGCACGGAGCTGAAAATAGTGAAAATAGTGAACTTACGCACAATAACGGCAGAGGAAAGAAGACGGCAAACCTTGTGTGACAAGCGTGACAACAATTACGTTTGAAAACGTATTCCGCCAAACTTCACCTTTTTTTAAGCAGACCTTTTTGTAAAAGACCAAAATATAGTGATGTTAACTGAAGGTCACGACAAAACACGCAAGTAATAGTCCTGTCACGTTGGTCACAAAAAAACGGTTTTGCCGTCCTTTTGTGTAAGCTCACTCATGGCTGGTAACTCAGCGTAATTTTTCATAACTATCACACTCATCTTCATCAAAGAATTGTTTATTAGAAAAATTAACAGCTAAATCAGCTTATGATTCGAGACAGTGGCTGAAAGAAGACATCAAATGTTACGAGAGAAAAACTTACTCAATTCCATGGTAGGACGCCGTAAGGGCATCTGGGTATCTTCTTTCCCTAACATCTAAATCTAGAGAGAGAGAGAGAGAGACAGAGAGACCGGAATTTAAAGATAAATATTTGCGGGAGTTTTTTGATTGACTTTGTATCATTAAAGCGAAGGTTTTTTTTCACTCAGATCAATCACAAATGGCACTGTCTATAAATTTTTCGCAAAAACAAAACAAATCCAAATAAAAATACTCACCAAAAGCTAACAACAGAAAATGTTTGCTGAAGGACTTGCATGCAGCAACAGCCTCGTTCACGGGAAGAGCCCGAAAACGAGGTTGATGCAGCCGCGAGAAAGCGCGGGAAACTCGTTGGAGGAAGTCGTGATTGGATTGGTTTCTTGAATGGTTAAAAGGGGAAGCCGTTTATGGGGTCGTCTACGAACAAAAACATTCCCTGTCCTTACCTCTTTTTGCGCCTATTTCTATGTGCCTATCAAGTAATCCTCTCTCCTAAAAGTGAAGCACAGAACACGGACTTGATAAGCATGGGTATCACCTGAACATTTTACAACTTATCATAAGCGACCGCCCAAACTGCTGAGATTTTGTGATTGCCTACAAGGCCGACCGTCGGGCACAAGACATCTCTAAGAGGCTACCATAGTTAACGTAAGTTTACAGCATGGATACTTCACCGAAAAACTACCAATATGCATAGCTTACCCGTGGTTTCACAGGGCTTAGATTGCTGGCCACAGCAGTCCCATCCAAGCGGAATTTCTCCAGGATATCGTGAATACTCATTGTTGTCACTTTAGTCCGAAGAGAGCCACATGAAAACGGAGAAAAAAGAGACTTTATCGGTTAAGTCAAACGCTGGCGGTCCAGAAGATAAGAGTAAATTACGAGGGGTGGGGAGGGTACTCCCATAAATAGCGGATAGGTGTGTGTCGCCCACGGTCTTAGAACCTGATACTAATCAAGGATGAGACAAACGAAAATTTATACTCTATAAAAGGCCCAAGCCTGATACAAAAAATGACACCCCATTCAAGGGAAAAACAAGACTAACAATTTGATGACTGATACAATTTAGGTGCCAAACCTGAGGATCAGACCAGGAACGCAATACCAACAAGGGCAAAAACGGTACCCTAGTAAGGTTCAAGACCCTAAAAAAACCATACCCTATAAGGCGGCACCCACCTATCTAGCGCATATATGGGAGTAACCCCCCCCCTCCCCCCCACCCGCGACATGACACTAGAGTTAGAGCCTGTTTACGTGGAGGTGGGGACCCCCAGGTAGCTGAGATAACCCGCCTGCCCAGATAATTTCTCATTTTAATTTGATCACGTTTGTACATGATAGGTGGGGTAACCCGCCACATGTTACCTCACATTTCTGGGCATCCAAGAAGATGGACTAACTTCATTAAACATTGTTCGACACTTGGACGTCACATGTTATGGCGGTTAGGTCCGTTTTGAACATGTTTGTCTTGGATGCTGTTAGATGATGTTGGATCAGGTTGAAATTAGGAGAGTTCAAATCAACCCAACACAATCCAACAATGTCGCGTGCGAACGATCCTCTGAGGTCGCGTAATAAAAAAATCAACAAATACACACCTGAAGCTAACAACGTGGAGTCCTTCGCAGCCGCATCTTTAACCCTGCTGAAACAAAAACAAGAGGAAAATCATGAACGCACTTGGCAAAGAGTAGAAAATTACGATCATTATACGTTTATAGGAAACTGACCACCTACCCCTCCCCTAAGCCAACATTTTGCCCTAAGTGAGAAGTACAGTAACTGTTAATGTTGGCTTAGGGGAGGGGTAGGTCGGCAGTTTCCCAGAAACGTAAAATGATCCGAAAGAGAATTAAACAGAATCAAAGACTCTTTCCGCAAACAGCCTGCTTGAGTTTATGTTACTCTCAGATACGGTAGTAAGAAGTTTGTTAAGAAGCACTCACACTGCATTTGGATCGTTTTTGATAAGCCACGCCCTCTCAGGCCATCTGCTGGGAGACATCAATGACTCTAATTGGTAACATGTAAGGAAAAAGAAGAAGAAAGCGAAAACTGTGAATTAAAAGAAAACGGAAACGGCAAGAACACAAAGACAACAATACGAAAAGCTGGAAAGAAAAAAAATCATTTAACGAGGTAAGAAGTCAATCTATACTAAATAAGAAAATAACGATTTGAAGGCAGCATATGCACATAAAGGTTCTTTGTCGATGATACTTGATCGAATTGGAATTTGAAAATGTTGGTTTTTGAGGACAGGGGAAAACCGGAGTACCCTGAGAAAGTCCTATCGGAGCAAGGAAGAGAACCAACAACACACTCCACTCACACATGACATTGACGCCGGGATTTAAACCCGGACCACGTTAAATAAAGAACGAAGGCCGTTACATCTTAATTAGTTAATGCACTATCCCCAGTGTCTGAGACTATTCGCCACTTTGAGGTTGCGTGGGAGACTGGGTCGAGACGGTTGTCAAAGTGCATTGTTGGACTGTTTTGGGGGACAAATTTGACGCCACGATGAAAATGCGTCCCCCAAAACGGTCCCACAATGCACGTAACAACCATCTCGACCCGGTCTCCCGCGCAACCTCAAAATGGCGAATTGTTGCAGTTATATTTTTTCCTCCCTCCTTGATGACAAGAGGTTCATATTTTCCCAACTTTGACACCGGTTGCACAAGTTGCGATAACAGTTTGCATATTTCCCCGCAAGCGAGCACCAGTTGCGAGTTTCACCGCACTTAACAACCTCCCATTCCACCATCGCTCTCCAGCTACTGAACCCTGCTATAAGTTTCCCTGCGCTTCAAACCGGTTACACATCGCCCATGGCACTGGAACACGTTTTTTGTTTCGTGCTTTATTATTAAGCTGCCCGTGAGGGCAACGTTCAATCAAGAATGACCTTGAACGAACGGAACTCCCAGAGGGTTTTGCGTATCCCACCAGCCCTCCCCCCCCCCCCCCCCCCCCCCCCTCCTCACCCCTTTTCTGCCAGACGGGGGCGGGGCCGTTTCGGTCGTCTGGTGAACATCTTTGGAAGGCGGTGTACCGCGACACAAAAATTTATGTGGGAGGTTTTTCCGCCCCCTCAAACCCGGTTACCCCCTCCCTGGGCGATGAGAACCGTTTTTTTTTTTGTGCTTTTTTTTTAAGCCGGCCCGGGGGGCAAGATTTAAACAAAAAAGACCCTGAAAGAACGGAACCCCCCAGGGGTTTTGCGGTTCCCCCCCCCCCCCCCCCCCCCCCCCCCCTCCCCGCTTCTATGGTACCGATTTCTGCGAGAAGGGGACGGGTCATTTCAGGTCGTCTGGCGAACAGATTTGGAAGTCGATTTAACACGAACACAAAATTATTGCGTGGAGTTATTGGCCCTATATCTACGCCAAATGATTATCGACATACAGTATTCGGATGAGGTAGTTACCCAGCGCAGGAGCTGCAGAAACAATGCCCTCCCACAGTCCCCAAGGGAAAAGCTTTGACTTGTTGCAATTTCTCCCTTGGTGTGAACAGCCTTTCCTTCAAATACAAGAAGGGGATATATTATTTGAAGATCGCCCCGTCAAATAGAAACAAAATCACTTGGATACTGTCAGTTGTTGCATTTAGCAGTGAGATCAGAAAATTAAATATACAGAAATTTTCTGGTTTTGAAAATATCTTGTATCATTACCTTTTTCAACAAGGAGTAATGACTCTCTTGTAACGACGTCAAGTTCATGTTCTTTTCCCGCTTGCAGCAACTGCTCTCTGCAATAAGAAGCCCTAAATAAGTTACGAAATGCATGAGAGAAATAACACTGACTCTTTGCATCGTTAAATAGGAAAAGAAAATGTGAATCAAGCACAGTGCACCAACAAAATTTAGACTATGTTCAAACTTTACCGGATGGCTTTTCGAGCCGACAAGAGAAGCCATCCATGCCGGAGCGGTTGGCTAAGAGGATTTGGCGAACTAAATCTCAGTCTTCAGCACTCCTGAGTATTTTATTATTTACTTCTGTCTCAATGGAATCTAGTCGTTGCTCCTAATTATTCAGTTCCGCTACCTGTTCACACTGCCCCCCCCCCCGGCACAAACCCCTCCTCCTTCACCCACCGATTCCTTCAGTGGAGGGACACACATGTATTTAGAGTGATTCCTTTCACAACATCTGGCAAGCAACAAAGGCAGAGAAACTGCTGATTTATTTTTTCCTTCATTTTTTTTGGTTTTTACAAAGAACAAATCAATGCATTAAATCGTATCGTGAGTTACCTTTTTTCCTTTAGTAAACTTAATTTTGCGGAGACTAACTGATCCAAAACCTTAGTGGAAGCGTCAAGTATAACCTGATCATCGGAAGTGGAATTGCCTGAAAGAATATTATAGCATCACGAACACTTTTGAATGACTGGTAACAAAATGATTTTCTGTAAGAGAATGGTGACGATTAAGTGTAAGTGGCCACGTTGGAGAAATTGGTGATAGCTCAGTATTCGGAAATGGAAAGAAAACATTCTCTTCCCCTTTGACGAATATCAGCTTCTAAGTAAGGCCTAAGACAAACATCGAACTTTTCATGGGACGAACCCGATGACCGGTGCTGAGGGTCCCCGCGAGGCTTTTATCGGGATCCGGAATTGTCTTATTTAAAAAGCCGGTAGCAAATGGGAGCGAACTTCGGGATTGAAAGAATGAACGGGGTGCGGGATGCAAAAAAAATGACCATCGGGATTACGGGACCGAGCGAAAATTTGGATCGGGATGACGGGATTGAAGACCATATTGGAGAACGTTGGTGCCCGTGTACTCCGAATATTGTACCCTTCTCCGCAGTTGGAATACGTCAAAGTACGGAAATCTTGGGGACCCGCCTATCACACCCCTCCCCCCCCCCCCCCCCCCCCCTCTCGTACTTTTTGGAGCCCCCGCTTTATAAAAATGGGGGAAGAAAAAAAAAAAAAAAGGAAAAAAACAAAACCCACCCCCCCCCCTGTGTAAAAAGTTGTGGCAACATTCACTAAAATTCTTTTTTTTTTATAAAAAAGAATCTTTTAAAAAAAATGAACCATGGGATTACGGGGACGAGGGAAAATTTTGAATGGGAAGACGGGATTGAAAGACCTATTGGAGAACGTTGGTGCCCGGTTTCCCCCAATTTTGTTCCCCTTTCCCCAGGTGGAAAAAGTCCAAGTACGGAAATTTTGGGGGCCCCCCCTACACACCCCCCCCCCCCCCCCCCATCCCCCCATTACTGTACTTGATGAAGCCCCTGATTAATAAAGTTGCGTGAAGAAAAAAGGAAAACAGGAAACAAAGCAATACCCACCCAGCTCCTGTTGTAACATGCTGAGCAGAATTTCAGTTAATTTCTGTTCTGTTTCAAAGAAGCTATCTTCGAGGTCAAGAAATCGTAAGGGTCCTCCAACTACAAACAAGATACAAAAACAATACATTCACCAGCTTTTTTGAGGAGGGTAAGATATTAGCTGAAAATTTTTTGACCACAAAAAGACTATTCTCCGTCCAGTGACAACTTGAACAGTCGGGGTAACTTTTTACATGGGTATAAGTTTTATGAAATGTGTCCTCCTATGTAGTATTCGAAAAAAAAAATCAAACGCCATTTAAGTTATTGTATTCCTAAACTTTTAGCCAGAATGAGTAAGAAGGTCTTGACAGGAAAGTTGTCCGCATCATTGAAAAACTGGTCAACCGAAGAAATGTTGCTTAAAAACAACTAATACGTCACTTCCACATTTCCCAGAATGCACCTTATTTGCCCCCAAAAATTTTGCATAAGCAGAGTTTTCAATTTTAATTTTCTAATAACCAGGAGAAATGAAAAACAAAGGTTATGCAAAATTTTAGGAGGCAAATAAGGTGCACTATGGGAAATGTGGAAGTGGCGTATGAAAGAGCTGATGAGGTGGGGTGGGGTGGGGAGGGGGGTATTTTTTGGGGTTCACCTTACGTTTCTGGGAAACTGCCCACCTACCCCTCCCCTAATCCAACATTTTGCCCTAAGTAAGAACTAAGTGTTAATGTTGGTTTAGGGGAGGGGTAGTTGGGTAGTTTCACAGAAACGTAAAATGATCCTTTTTTTACCGTTTTGATCATTTATAATGCCGGGCACTGAAGAATGTATGTACATGCTTAGGAAAGAAAAATTGCTTTAAAAAACCTAATGAAGGCACTGAAGGGGTGGGGTGAGGAGGGGGTATTTTGTTCACCTTCTTGATCGTTTATAATGGGAACTGAAGAATGCACTGTAGCCAAATCATGCTGTATCCTTCCATTCAAATGTTCGGGCGCCCTCAAAACGAAGACATTCAGGCCGTTTTCAGCACCACCACAAATAAGACAGAGTCGACTACTGCAGTCATCTTTGTCTTCCTCTCCAGCGTTGGTTTCACTGATTGTAGCTGAAATCCCCCAAAATACGGAAATTAGGAAGCCATGACGACAATGCCATGGAAAATTCTTAGATGCAGCAAAATTACAAATACAAATTACAAGAAAAACTGCCCAGTGCAACATGACATTTGTGGCCGGAGCAAAATCTCTTTAAACGTAACTTGCAACTGTGTAACAAAATTGCGAGATAATAAGCACGGTAAATTTTTAAGCAACTTGTAATGCTACAAAATAGCAAACAAGCTTCACGAAGAATTGCCTAAAGTAACAGGCCTTTACATGTCTTTTAAAAACAACACACCTGAGTAGCTTTCGGCTTTGACAAAGTTAAACCAAGCTTCCTTGCTCTTTTCGTTTTGGTGGGTGTTGGTTGGCTGGGTGAGTTTTAACCGTCCAATAAATGCAACATCCTGTAAACACATTCAAAGTTGAAACAATATTTTAAAATGATATACAAGGCTTGGGGACCTTACTTTGATGAAGAGGAGCACGCAATTTAGCCAAATCTACAAAATGGTACATATGTAGGTGTATAACACATCGAGCGAAAGATTATTTAAACGGATTGTAGTTAGAGTTTGTGAAAGTAAACCTAATAATAATAATAATAATAATATTAAAATAATATTGCGTAACGCTTGTTGTAACGCTAGAGAGACTCACGTACAGTACAACTGTATTTATCAAGAAGCTGTCATTCTGACGTAATTTCTTTGCTAACTTTTAGTTTTGTGGGTCCCAGTTGGCAAAACTAACCGGACGGCAGGCTCAGCTCACGTTTTATCAAGAGAGACTTGGTTCAATTTCTAAATGAGAAACTCCATGTTTAGGCTTAGCTATTTTTGTTACAGAGACATGAAATACTGACCTTGTTGACCTCAAAAGAGAGCCATTGGACAAGCCTAGCAGACGTTTTGATAGAACAACACGCCAGTTTTCTGCAAACAGATTAAGCTAAGGATTTTCTTTGCAATTTACAGACATAAAATCCATCAAAATTAGCCTTCTAGCTGACCCTCAGGAAAAGGACTCTCCCCGCCCATTTATCCTCGTTCAAACCTGCTAATGAAACTGTAGAACATAATAAATATTATTCTGAAAAAAAAAAACTGTTTCATAAAAAAAAGAAGATAAGACGGGGGAGGTGGGCACCAAACATGCAAAGTCTGATAGACATCATTTGTGACTCTCCACGGGAAAACCGGGCTTATGAGTTTTCACGGCGAGGCTTAATTCACGCTAACAACCGTGAAATGCAGCAAAATGATTGGAATCTCCGTGAAATTCCTCTGAATCGGTGTGAACACGGCGTGAAAATAAATCACTCTATCGTGAAATAAACCACGGCGTGAATATAATTTTTCACGCCGTGTAAAGCTTCTGCGGGCCGGGAAAAACTTCACACCGTGAAATATGTCACTCCGTGAAAAAATTAAAATCACGTCGTGAAAATACCCGTCAGCTTTACTAGAAAAGATTGATTTCTTTCTTACCAGACCGTCGATAACTTAATCTCTACCAAAGTTTTGCAATGCAAAATTGAGTCTTTTGTTGCATGTAATAAGAAACGGCTTAAAAAAATGACGCGCAAGCATGGAAAAAATTGGTAGTTTAAATAAAATGAGAAATCGGTAGTTAAGTTGGCCTTAGGTTTTTTCATAACTAATTATTGGCAGTATTAACAGAAAACAATAATTTGTGCCATGCAGCATTTTAAGTTGTTAAGCTAATTATGTCTCTACGACTATTTTAATACCGCTTCTGAACAATGGAATTTTGTTTGCTTTCCGTAGGCCATTTGGAAAAATTATTCGCCCTTGTTATACTTAAGAAATAAAAGAATACCGCTGCTTTAGTTGTTGTCTGAAATGCTGTGTCGAAATGAATGACCGCAGCTGGTCACTCCGTAGTCTGTGCGTGCCATGAAAGCGATGCAAAACACCCACAATTTAGTATGTCGAAGACAAGTATGTTTTGAGATCACGCAGCGGGTCACTTATTAAAAAAAAAGTCACATTCGTGTGAATTTTCTCAGTCTTGGCAAAGAAATGTTAAGCGAAAAATGTTTAAAATTAATGTTAAGCTGTTCAAAAGAGAATCAGTCGTCTTTGTAGCCAAAGTAAAATCCAGAAGTTTTCATCCAGATGTTTTCATTATCTTCTGGCCGCCATATTGATTTGTCATGGATGTACAGTGGTCTATCATCAAGCCTTTCAAATTGGTCGTAGCAGTTTACATCAAAACCAACCCAGGGTTCGAAACAGAAAATAGAAGGACGGTAAATAGCCTAGTTAAAAGCAAAAGGGAACTACAAGTTCAGAGTTTTTTTTTAAATCAGAGTTTTCCCCATTAAAACCCCTGGAAGTACTATTGATAAGCAACAGGATACAGCTGCATCTTTACAGGCACAAACATGTGTAGAGGAACCGAGTGCTTCTGCACTTTGCACAGGATAGTTATTTCTTGGCCAATGCAGAGATCAGAATTCCGATCTTCGGTGGACGATTTCCTCTGTCTGTTTAGAAAACAGGACAGAAAACAAAGAACATTTATTTTAAGATTTGATGCTTTGTACATTTTGTACATTGTAAATCCTAAACGGTCGGGTCCGGATAATCTGCGAGCCAGCGAGCCATGCGAGGCATGCGAGCCATCGGAAAATATAAATTTTTAATAATATTCTAATTGGAAATAGTTCGTTTTGTAATTGGTTTTGCTGCTGGAAATGTGCTTTCAATCGCGAATATTCAACCGCGATGGCTCACGCGGTGGCCATGTTATTTTGGACGCGAACAGTCTGGGTCGAGGGAGAGCGACAAATTTTGACTTTCTCTCCCCTCTCTGATAGTCTTTCTCTCCTGTTTCGTTCTTGCGAACCGTTCAGCGTGCTCGTGGCCGGATCTTCAAAAAATCTTCAATCCTTTTGGACAATCCAGTTCAGTCGAATCAATCTAGCAATAAACTGCTTCTAAAAGTGAGTATTTAGCTGATTTACCTTTGCTTTAGTCCGTTGTCAGCTGTTTTGTGCAATGAATTATTCATCATTGCTAATGTTTTATGTATTTTATTTAGTTCGCAGATGGCAAATCGACGCACGCAGTGTCTCGTTGAAGCAACGAAGCGTGGTTTCACGCTAAACATCGATCCAAGCGGGGAAAGAAACCGTTGCTTTTATCAGTGTTTGGCAGCGTATTTTTTTTAGGGATGAAAGATGTGCAAGGACTAATCGACATGTTGGAGAACTACATGCTTAATCACCGACTGGTTCCCGTTAAAAATATAATATTCTGTTCTTGTTGTCATTGTTTCTGTACGAACAAAAATATATTTAATGCTTTAAATTCTGGTGTTAAAACCTTAACCGTAATCAAGAGAAAGGATTTGAAAGGATTTGAAAACGATACGGTTTCATCGTTCGTGTAGATAAGTTTTCAGATGGCTCGCATGGCTCGCTGCCTTGGCTCGCATGGCTCGCATGGCTCGCATGGTTCGCTTGTATGACTCGCATGGCTCGCATGGCTCGCTGGCTCGCACTCTATCCAAACTCAAACGGTCAAGGATACACCTCCTTAAGATAGACACGTAATTAAAACGGACACCAAGAAGTGGTTCCTGCCTTTCTTTAGTCACAATTACTGTAGCTTGCTGGTCCCAAAGATGTGATGTCTTTGATAGGGTTGACTGTTATCCACTTAGAAAACGGTAATAATTGGTAGTAATTTACATGAAATAACATGTCAGTATTTGATTAAGAGTTCAAGCATCAACACACCTTTTTAAAGGAAACTGGATATTCTTTTTGCTTTTCTCACACCACAACCTGAACCCTGGTAATTTCATTTCTGACTGATCCTAGAAAACGTGTACAAAAAGAATAAAAAAGCCCTCTATGCGTAATGGCCAACTTGATGACAGAGGAAAGTGGCTGTTGTAACAACAGTCGGCAAATAATGGGGTAACTTTGGAAAATAAAACAATTCACACCCCTCCACTCCATTCAAACTTGGGTTGTTTGTTGTTTTATATAGGAAGTTCGAACAGTGGCACACGGTTGTCACTAAGATTTCAAGTTGCCGGGTAAATAAAACAAGTAGGCGGGAAATCAAACGGCTAGGGATTTCTATTGAATCTATTTTTCTTTTATTTTTCAATTAAAGTAGCCGGGGACACTCTCTTAGAAACTGGGAAAAATCCCCGGTTCCCAGCTCTTAATGATAACCCTCCGAGATGACTAGGGATGACCGGGATGACTAGGGATTACTGCTATGACTAGGGATTAGGGATGACTAGGGATGAATAAGATAACTAAGCAACACTAGAGATGACTGGTATGACTACGGATGAGTAGGGATGACTAGGGACGACTAGGATGACTAAGAATGAATAGGGATGACTCGGCATGACTATAAACGAACTGGGTTAACTAGGGATGACTAGGAGGACAACGCATGACTAAAAATGACTAAGGATGACTGGGATGACTAGGCAAGACAAGGGCTGACTACGGATGACTATGGATAACTAAGACGACTAGGGATGACGGGAGATGACTAAAGATGACTGAGAAAACTAGGGATGACTAAAGATCACTAGGGTTGACTGGGATGATTAGAGATGACTAGAAATGACTATGATGACTAAGAATCACTAGAGACGACTAGGGATGACTGGGGATGACTGCGATGACTAGGGATCAATAGGAACGCCTGGGATCACTAGAAAAGACTGGGATGACTAGGGATGACTAGGATGACTAGGCATGACTAGGGATAACTAGGGATGACTAGAGATGACTAGCGATGACTGAAATGACTAGGGATGACTAGGGTGGACCGTAATGACTAGGGCCTAAGGATAACTAGGGATAACTGGGATGACTAGGGATGACTAGGGATGACTAGGGATGACTGGGATGACAGGGGAAGAATAGAAACCATTGGGAAAAATATGAATGACTAGAGATGAATGGGATGACTAGCAACGAGTAGGAACGACTATCGATGGCAAACATGACTGGGATAACTAGGGATGATAAAGGATGCCTAGGAATGACTAAGGATGACTAGGGATGACTGCGATACCTAAGGTTGACTAGGGATGACTGGGAAGACTTGGGATGACTAGGAATGACTAGAGATAACTACCGATGACTAGAGATAACTAGGGGTGACAAGGGATAAGTGGGTTGACTAGGGATAAAAGAGATGATTAGGGATGACTACGAATGATTAGGGATGACTAAGAAGAATAAGGATAACTAGGGATGACTAGCACGACTGGGATGACTAGGGATGCCTAGGCATGATTAGGAATGAGTAGGCATGACTAGGGATGACTAAAAATCACTAAGGATGACTAGGAATCACTAGGGATGACTAGGGATGACTAGGGATGACTGACATGACGAAAGATATCTAGCAATAACTGGGATGACTACGGATGACTAGAGATGATAAGAGATGGCAAGGGATGACAGTGATCACAAATGATGACTAGGGCTGACAGGGATAACAAAGGATGACTAAGGATGATAGGGATGACCAGGGATGACTAGGGCTGACTAGGGATGACTGAGAAAACTAGCACTGACTAAGGATAACTAAGGATAAGTGGGATGACTAGAGATGACTAAGCATGACTAGGGATGACTGAAATGACTAAGGATGACTAAGGATAACTAAGGATGACTAGGGATGACTAGGATGACAAAAATGACTAGCAATGACTAAGGATGACTGGGATGACTCGGGATGGCTGAGATGACTAAGGATGACTAGGGATAAGTAGGGATGACTACGACGACTACGATGACAAGGGATGACTAGGGATGACTAGGGGTGACTTAAAATGACTGGGATGACTAGTGATGACAAGGGATAAATGCAATGACTAGGGATGACTGGGAAAGCTAGAGATCACAAGGGATGACTAGGATCACTAGGGATGACAAGGAATGACTAGCGATAACTAGGATGACCAGGCATGACTAGGGATACCCGGGATGACTAGGGATGACTAGGCATGACCAGAAAGGACTAAGGATGTCTAGAGATGACTAGGGATGACTTGGGTGACGAGGGATAACTAGCCATGACTAGGGATGAGTGGGATGACTAGGAATAACAGGAAATTACTAGGGATGACTAGCGATGACAAGGGATGACTAAGGATGACTAAAGATGACTAGGTATGATTGCCATGACTAGGGATGACTAAGGATGACTAAGGATGACTAAGATGACTGGGATGACTAGGGATGAGTAGGGATGACTGCGATGACTAAGGATGACCAGGGATGACTAGCGATGACAAGGGATGACTTAGGACCACTAAAGATGACTACGGATGACTGGGATGACTAGGAATGATTAGGGATGACTGGAATGACTAGGGATGACTAGGGATGAATAGGGATGACTAGGAATGACTAGGGATAACTAGGGATGACTAGGATGAGTTGGGATGACTAGGAATGACTAGGTATGACTAGGGATCACAAGCGATCACTAGGATAACTACGGACGACTAGGGATAACTAGGGAAAACTAGGGATGAGTGGGATGATTAGGGATGACTAGGGATGACTGGGATGACTAGGGATGACTAGGGATGACTAGGGATGACAAGGGATAACTGGGATGACTAGAGACGACTAGGGATGACTGGGATAATTAGAGATGACTAGGGATGGCTGGGATGACTAGGGATGACTAGGGATGACTGGGATGACTAGAAATGACTAGGGATTACTACGATGACTGCCATGACTAAGAATTACTAGGGATGAGAAGGGATGACTAGGGATGACTAGGATGACTGGAATGACTGGGGATGACTAGGGATGACTAAGGATGACTAGGATGACTGGGATGACTAGGAATGACTAGGGATGGCTGGGATGACTAGGAATGACTGGAATAAACTAAGAATGACTAGGGATGACTAGGGATGACTAGGGATGACCGGGATGATTAGAGATGACTAGGGATGGCTGGGATGACTAGGGATGACTGGGATGACTACGGTTGACTAGGGATTACTAAGATCACTGCGATGACTAAGAATTACTAGGGATGAATAGGGATGACTAGGGATGACTAGGAATGACCGGGATGATTAGAGATGACTAGGGATGGCTGGGATGACTAGGGATGACTGGGATGACTACGGATGACTAGGGATTACTAAGATGACTGCGATGACTAAGAATTACTAGGGATGACTAGGGATGACTAGGGATGACTAGGGATGACTAGGATGACTGGGATAACTAGGGATGACTAGGGATAACTAGGATGACTAGGATGACTAGGGATGACTAGGGATGGCTGGGATGACTAAACTAGCACTGACTAAGGATAACTAAGGATAAGTGGGATGACTAGAGATGACTAAGCATGACTAGGGATGACTGAAATGACTAAGGATGACTAAGGATAACTAAGGATGACTAGGATGACAAAAATGACTAGCAATGACTAAGGATGACTGGGATGACTCGGGATGGCTGAGATGACTAAGGATGACTAGGGATAAGTAGGGATGACTACGACGACTACGATGACAAGGGATGACTAGGGATGACTAGGGGTGACTTAAAATGACTGGGATGACTAGTGATGACAAGGGATAAATGCAATGACTAGGGATGACTGGGAAAGCTAGAGATCACAAGGGATGACTAGGATCACTAGGGATGACAAGGAATGACTAGCGATAACTAGGATGACCAGGCATGACTAGGGATAACCGGGATGACTAGGGATGACTAGGCATGACCAGAAAGGACTAAGGATGTCTAGAGATGACTAGGGATGACTTGGGTGACGAGGGATAACTAGCCATGACTAGGGAGGAGTGGGATGACTAGGAATAACAGGAAATTACTAGGGATGACTAGCGATGACAAGGGATGACTAAGGATGACTAAAGATGACTAGGTATGATTGCCATGACTAGGGATGACTAAGGATGACTAAGGATGACTAAGATGACTGGGATGACTAGGGATGAGTAGGGATGACTGCGATGACTAAGGATGACCAGGGATGACTAGCGATGACAAGGGATGACTTAGGACCACTAAAGATGACTACGGATGACTGGGATGACTAGGAATGATTAGGGATGACTGGAATGACTAGGGATGACTAGGGATGAATAGGGATGACTAGGAATGACTAGGGATAACTAGGGATGACTAGGATGAGTTGGGATGACTAGGAATGACTAGGTATGACTAGGGATCACAAGCGATCACTAGGATAACTACGGACAACTAGGGATAACTAGGGAAAACTAGGGATGAGTGGGATGATTAGGGATGACTAGGGATGACTGGGATGACTAGGGATGACTAGGGATGACTAGGGATGACTAGGGATGACTGTGGATGACAAGCAATGACTAGGATCAGTAGGATGACTGCGATGACTAAGAATTACTAGCGATGACTAGGGATGACTAGGGATGACTAGGATGACTGGGATGACTAGGTATGACTAGGGATGACTAGGGATAACTAGGGATGACTAGGGATGACTAGGGATGACTAGGGATGACCGGGATGATTAAGGATGACTAGGGATGGCTGGGATGACTAGGGATGACTGGGATGACAACGGATGACTAGCGATTACTAAGATGACTGCGATGACTAAGAATTACTAGGGATGACTAGGGATGACTAGGGATGACCGGGATGATTAGAGATGACTAGGGATGGCTGAGATGACTAGGGATGACTGGGATGACTACGGATGACTAGCGATTACTAAGATGACTGCGATGACTAAGAATTACTAGGGATGACTAGGGATGACTAGGGATGACTAGGATGACTAGGATAACTAGGGATGACTAAGGATAACTAGGATGACTGGGATGACTAGGGATGACTAGGGATGGCTGGGATGACTAGGAATGACTGGAATAAACTAAGAATGACTAGGGATGACTAGGGATGACCGGGATGATTAGATATGACTACGGATGGCTGGGATGACTAGGGATAACTAGGGATGACTGGAATGACTAGGGATGACTAGGGATGACTAGGGATGACTAGGGATGACTAGGGATGACTGTGGATGACAAGCAATGACTAGGATCAGTAGGATGACTGCGATGACTAAGAATTACTAGGGATGACTAGGGATGACTAGGGATGACTAGGATGACTGGGATGACTAGGTATGACTAGGGATGACTAGGGATAACTAGGGATGACTAGGGATGACTAGGATGACTGGGATGACTAGGGATGACTAGGGATGGCTGGGATGACTAGGAATGACTGGAATAAACTAAGAATGACTAGGGATGACTAGGGATGACTAGGGATGACCGGGATGATTAGAGATGACTAGGGATGGCTGGGATGACTAGGGATAACTAGGGATGACTGGAATGACTAGGGATGACTAGGGATGACTAGGGATGACTAGGGATGACTGGGATGACTAGGGATGACTAGGGATGACTAGGGATGACTAGGGATGACTAGGGATGACTAGGGATGACTAGGATGACTAGGGATGACTAGGGATGACTGGGATGACTAGGGATGACTAGGGATGACTAGGGATGACTAGGGATGACTAGGGATGACTAGGGATGACTAGGGATGACTGGGATGACTAGGGATGACTAGGGATGACTGGGGTGACTAGGGATGACTAGGGATGACTAGGGATGACTAGGGATGACTGGGATGACTAGGGATGACTAGGGATGACTGGGATGACTAGGGATGACTAGGGATGACTGGGATGACTAGGGATGACTAGGGATGACTGGGATGACTAGGGATGACTAGGGATGACTGGGATGACTAGGGATGACTAGGGATGACTGGGATGACTAGGGATGACTAGGGATGACTGGGATGACTAGGGATGACTAGGGATGACTGGGATGACTAGGGATGACTAGGGATGACTGGGATGACTAGGGATGACTAGGGATGACTGGGATGACTAGGGATGACTAGGGATGACTGGGATGACTAGGGATGACTAGGGATGACTGGGATGACTAGGGATGACTAGGGATGACTGGGATGACTAGGGATGACTAGGGATGACTGGGATGACTAGGGATGACTAGGGATGACTGGGATGACTAGGGATGACTAGGGATGACTGGGATGACTAGGGATGACTAGGGATGACTGGGATGACTAGGGATGACTAGGGATGACTGGGATGACTAGGGATGACTAGGGATGACTGGGATGACTAGGGATGACTAGGGATGACTGGGATGACTAGGGATGACTAGGGATGACTGGGATGACTAGGGATGACTAGGGATGACTGGGATGACTAGGGATGACTAGGGATGACTGGGATGACTAGGGATGACTAGGGATGACTGGGATGACTAGGGATGACTAGGGATGACTGGGATGACTAGGGATGACTAGGGATGACTGGGATGACTAGGGATGACTAGGGATGACTGGGATGACTAGGGATGACTAGGGATGACTGGGATGACTAGGGATGACTAGGGATGACTGGGATGACTAGGGATGACTAGGGATGACTGGGATGACTAGGGATGACTAGGGATGACTGGGATGACTAGGGATGACTAGGGATGACTGGGATGACTAGGGATGACTAGGGATGACTGGGATGACTAGGGATGACTAGGGATGACTGGGATGACTAGGGATGACTAGGGATGACTGGGATGACTAGGGATGACTAGGGATGACTGGGATGACTAGGGATGACTAGGGATGACTGGGATGACTAGGGATGACTAGGGATGACTGGGATGACTAGGGATGACTAGGGATGACTGGGATGACTAGGGATGACTAGGGATGACTGGGATGACTAGGGATGACTAGGGATGACTGGGATGACTAGGGATGACTAGGGATGACTGGGATGACTAGGGATGACTAGGGATGACTGGGATGACTAGGGATGACTAGGGATGACTGGGATGACTAGGGATGACTAGGGATGACTGGGATGACTAGGGATGACTAGGGATGACTGGGATGACTAGGGATGACTAGGGATGACTAGGGATGACTGGGATGACTAGGGATGACTAGGGATGAATAGGGATGACTAGGGATGACTAGGGATGACTGGGATGACTAGGGATGACTAAAGTTGACTAGGGATGACTAGCGACGACAAGGGATGACAAGGATGACTAAAGATGACTAGGGATGACTGGGATGACGAGGGATGACTACGGATGACTGTGATGACGAGGGATGACTAGGGATGACTAGGGATGACTGGGATGACTAAGGATGACTAGGGATGACTAGGGATGACTAGGGATGACTAGGATGATTAGAGATGACTAGGAATGGCTGGGATGACTAGGGTTCACTAGGGATGGCTGGGATGACTAGGGATAACTAGGGATGACTGGGATGACTAGGGATGACTAGGGATGACAAAGATGACAGGGATGACTGCGATGACTAAAGATGACAAGGGATGACTAGAGATGACTAGGGATGATTAGGATGACTGGGCTGACTAGGGATGACTATGGATGACTAGGGATGACAAGAGATGAATAGGGATGACTCGGATAACTAAGGATGACTAGGGACGACTAGGGATACCTGAGATGACTACGGATGACTGGGGATGACAAGAGGTGACAACGGATGACTGGGATGACTAAGAATGACTAGGGATGGCTGGGATGACTAGAGATAACTAAGGATAACTGGGATGACTAGGGATGACTACCGATCACAAGGGATGACTAAGGAGGACTAAGGATGACTAGGAATGACTAGGAATGATTAGGGATGAGTAGGGATGGCTAGGGATGACTGGGATGTCTAGGGATGACTAGCGATGAACAGGGATGACTAAGGATGACTAAGGATGACTAGGGATGACTAGGGATGACTAGGGATAAGTAGGGATGACTAGGGATGACTGGGATGAATAGGGATGACTAGGGATGAGTAGGGATGACTAGGGATGACTGGGATGACTACGGATGACTACGGATGACTAGGGATGACTGGGAAGACTAGGGATGATTGGGATGACTAGGGATGACTAGTGATGACAAGGGATGACTAAGGATGACTAAAGATGACTAGGTATGACTGCGATGACTAGGGATGACTAAGGATGACTGGGATGACTAGGGATGACTAGGAATGGGTAGGGATGACTAGCGATACCTAGGATGACTAGGAATGACTAGGGATAACTAGGGATGACTAGGGATGACTGGGGTGACTAGGGTTGACTAGGGATGACTACGGAGGAGTGGGATGACTAGGAAATGACTAGGGATGACTAAGATGACTGCGATAACTAAGGATGACTGGGGATGACTAGGATGATTGGGATGACGAGGAATGACTAGTGATAATTATGGATGACGAGGGATGACTAGGGATGGCTGGGATGACTAGGGATGACTAGAGATGACTGGGATGACTAAGAAGGACTAGGGATGACTAAGGATGACTGGGATGACTAGGAAATGACTAGGGATGACTAAGATGACTGCGATGACTAAGGATGACTAGGGATGACTAGGATGACTGGGATGACTAGGGATGACTAGTGATGATTATGGATGACGAGGGATGACTAGGGATGGCTGGGATGACTAGGGATGACTAAAGATGACTGGCATGACTAGGAATGACTAGGGATCACTAAGGATGACTGGGATGACTAGGGATGACTGGGGATGATTAGGGATGACCAGGGATGGCTGGGATGACTAGGGATGACCAGGATGCCTGGGATGACTAGGAATGACTAAGGCCGATTAAAGATGACTAGGGATGACTGGGATGACTAGGGATGACAAGGGATGAGTGGGATGAGTGGCATGACTGGGATGACTAGGTATGACTAGAGATGGCTGGGATGACTAGGGATGACGAGGGATGACTGGGGATGACTAGGGATGACTAGGAATGAGTAGGGATGACTAGCGATACCTAGGATGACTAGGGATGACTAGGGATAACTAGGGATGACTAGGGATGACTGGGGTGACTAGGGTTGACTAGGGATGACTACGGAGGAGTGGGATGACTAGGAAATGACTAGGGATGACTAAGATGACTGCGATAACTAAGGATGACTGGGGATGACTAGGATGATTGGGATGACGAGGAATGACTAGTGATAATTATGGATGACGAGGGATGACTAGGGATGGCTGGGATGACTAGGGATGACTAGAGATGACTGGGATGACTAAGAAGGACTAGGGATGACTAAGGATGACTGGGATGACTAGGAAATGACTAGGGATGACTAAGATGACTGCGATGACTAAGGATGACTAGGGATGACTAGGATGACTGGGATGACTAGGGATGACTAGTGATGATTATGGATGACGAGGGATGACTAGGGATGGCTGGGATGACTAGGGATGACTAAAGATGACTGGCATGACTAGGAATGACTAGGGATCACTAAGGATGACTGGGATGACTAGGGATGACTGGGGATGATTAGGGATGACCAGGGATGGCTGGGATGACTAGGGATGACCAGGATGCCTGGGATGACTAGGAATGACTAAGGCCGATTAAAGATGACTAGGGATGACTGGGATGACTAGGGATGACAAGGGATGAGTGGGATGAGTGGCATGACTGGGATGACTAGGTATGACTAGAGATGGCTGGGATGACTAGGGATGACGAGGGATGACTGGGGATGACTAGGGATGACTAGGAATGAGTAGGGATGACTAGCGATACCTAGGATGACTAGGGATGACTAGGGATAACTAGGGATGACTAGGGATGACTAGGGATGACTACGGAGGAGTGGGATGAGTAGGAATTGACTAGGGATGACTAAGATGGCTCCGATGACTAAGGATGACTAGGGATGACTAGGATGACTGGGATGACTAGGGATAACTAGGGATGACTTAGATGACTGGGATGACTAGGGATGACTGGGGATGACTAGGGATGACTAAAGATGACTGGCATGACTAGGAATGACTATGGATGACTAGGGATGACTAGGGATGACTAGGGAGGACTGGGATGACTAGGGATGACTGAGGATGACTAGGGATGACGAGAAATGACTAGGGATGACTAGGGATAACTCGGATGACTAGGGATGACTAGGGATGACTAGGGATAACAAGGATCACTGGGAAGACTAGGGATGACTAGAAATGACTAGAAATGACTAGGGATGACAAGGGATGACTGGGATGCCTAGGGATGACTGGGGATGACTAGGGATGAGTGGGATGACTAGGGATGACTAGGGATAACTAAGATGACTGCGATGACTAAGGATGACTAGGGATGACTAGGGATGACTAGGATGACTAAGGATGACTAGGGATATCTAGGGATGACTAGGCATGACTAGGAATGACTAGGGATGACTAGGGATGACTAGGATGTCTAAGGATGACTAGGGATGACTTGGGATGACTAGGGATGTCTTGGAGGGACAGCTACGTTATGAATAGAACATTTTTTTAAAACCATAGGACGTCTTCCACAAACTTACAAATTTGAACTGCATACTAATTTAATAAATAGTATCACATGATAGAACAGCTGCAGAGGTTTCTTTGAATGGTTACCCCATACCATTTGGTGCACAGACTAAGAAAGAATTAGATCCACCTTTATGTAAAAGTACCTCACTGATAACCAAAGAGCCTTGCCAAACAACAGAGGGATCAAGTAGCTTAACCAGTGAATCTGGATTCTTTTTGTTGAGCAGCATCACTGATATGTTCAAATCTTTCTGCCAGGTTTTTGAAAAGGTTTCTCTATTAATAAAATAATACAAAACAAAATTGAAATCAGTTTCCTGTATTACCCCTTTTTCGGGGGATACAAAATATACACGCACCGGGCTATCCTCTTAAGAAATGCCAGCCCATTAGTAAGTGTAGTATATTGAACCCTAGGGGTGCAGCACTTTTTTCCCAACAGTATCGCCCAAGTTCCATTCACAGTCTAATCCCAGTATATTTATAACCCGCATCCGGTACGTGACTGGGTTAAGTTTTTCCAATTGGTCCATTCCAGCTTTGATACACTTCAATCCACGACATGGATACAGGTATAGTTAGTAAGTTATCAGCCTCTTATGAGAAAAGAGTCTAACTAATTTTTAAACTGTACAGGTCGAAAATTCAAATTAAATCAAGATACACAGCTGTTCAACGGGTAAAACAGGTTCTTCAGAGCCTTTTAGGTTGTTTTTACTGGTTGAGGATAACTGATTCCGCCACCCACATTATGAGTGCTTGTTGCTTTACACTCCTTATAAATCAACAACTCATAGCCGCAATTGGGTACTTGCCTATCAAATTCATCACTACAAAGAACAGTAATATTGGCATTATTCCATTCCTGCAGTCTCTTAAAGGCACCAAACAGATGCAAGTGGGACCTACAAAGTAAATCAATCAACTGTTGCTAATACAATATAGAGTATCACTTGTTTAAAATGTGTAAATGGTACAGTGTATTAAAAATACTCATATAGTACTAACAGACTGAGTGTATAATTAACAATTATTCCACGAGGGCATGTCGGATATGAGATGATAGATAGCCAACGAGGCACGTAGCTATAATCAACTCATATCCAACAAGCGCGAGTGGAATTGTTTTATTAAAATTGCCCACAAAATCTTGCTGAATCTCCCCGACTTTAATAATTTTGTTAGAACAAACTGGAAAAGACAAGGGACTTCCGCTATTCAGATGTCACACGTCTATCAAAACTGTCAACGCGCGAACGAACTCACCTGGACTGCATGAATGAAAAATCAAAACATTGTAGCGATGAACATTTTTAAAAACTCATCGGGATAATCTAGGATTTTACACAGCAGGACAGCTAAAAAAACCTGGCAGATAATTTGAAGGAAAAGAATTCTTAAGTGACAGCCATCGAAATTACTGTGAATTTGGATTTTCGGTGCAGATACAAAAGTAAGAACAACGGAGAAAAACTATTACCTTGGTCGCTTGATATGAAGTTGTTTGAAGCCACAAGCTGGTTTTGCTGAACAAGAAAA